AAATCTTATCGCTATTCTGTGTGGAGCCTTTATGTTAGTCTATACGAAGTGTTGTCATTGTTATAACCGAAGTCTTGTATTTACACTTCACCATCACATCATCGCTGCCATTCCTTCTCCTTCACCTATCCTGTAGACTGGATGTCCGTCGGGGTGCTTTTGAAGATTTGGCCACCAGTTTCCTCCACCCCTTCCGGTCTTCAGCTTTCCTGAGCGTGTTTTTGAGTTCTAGGCTTGTCCATTCCTTGATGTTGTCCTTCCAGCTCTTCTTCGGTCTGCCTCTGCCTGCCGCCATTCAATATTGTAGAATGTCAAAATTTCGGAAAAAATCAAAAACAAGTGTGTTGTAGATTTTGGTGAGATGTATTTATTGGTCTGAGTCTATAAATCCTCTTTTTAAAATAGTGACAGACTAAGACGAATTAAACAATTTATTAAGATATTTTGATGAGATTCATAATTAATTTAGTTATCCGAGTCTAATGCCTCTTCTTTAAAAAAAAGTGACGGATTTTGACGAATTAAAAAGAATATATATTAAGAGAAAGTCCTGCTGAAAATACAGCAGTGTTTTGTCCTTTTGCTGCCCTTGACAACTTCATATTTTGACATAAGACAATTATTTGAATGACGGCGACAACCGCCCCTTCCCCACCCACATTAAGTTTGGTTATGGCGTTGGAAGTGTTAAATGAACTCGCCGTCTATTTTTTTTTTGGGGGGGGGGGATGTTTTTTGTGTTCGTTTTGTTCGTTTTATTTATTTATTTACTTATTATTTTTTTTACAACAAACATAGGCCGAGTAGAATGAAATATTGTCACACTGTTAATGTTTGTCAAGAATCAAAACTGAATTGGTTTATAATGGGATCTCAAAAGATCAGATTATGTTTACATTGTGGAGAATGGTGTCTCTTAATTAAATCAGGACCAGAACTTGCGGCTGGACATTTTTATCCTATATGCCCCAGAAGTTCTCCGTAATTTAAAACGTGATGCTGTTAGGCGGTTCGGATACTGTTTGCCTACTCTATTACTGGTTTTGAAGAATCAGCAGTAATTCGCTCAACGAACATACTCGTCCTAGCTAAATGAAGACTGAAACGCAGATGATCAGCATTTAATGTGATCCCCCCCCCCCCTCTCTCTCTCTCTCTCTCTCTCTCTCTCTTTCTCGAACGTTCCTCGGTCATATTTATACTTTGTTTTGTTTTGTTGTTTTAACGGTCTTTCTCGAACGTTCCTCGGTCATATTTATACTTTGTTTTGTTTTGTTGTTTTGTTATAAATATGACTGTATGATCGGAGAATTAATTTGTGTGTGTGCATGCATGAATTTCAATGTGTGCCCGACAATAGCTTAATCTTGAAAAAAAAATGAAATTGGCAGGCAGACCTCTTGGTTGATAAAAATTATTCGTTCCACAAAGAAAAACCAAATTTTTTACTTTCACAAATATTCGACCTCGATAGCAAAGTTTTAAACATCTGTGCCTCAGCCACCAGCAAGCCCATGCTGGGTATTACAACAGACCACGCATAACGTTGAGATGAGACCATTATTTGAACTTTGCATTATTGTTAAAAAATACAGCATGTAATTTCAGTTGTGGCTACTTGTAATGACATTCATGACGTTTACAAACATTACAGGGTTTTTTTTTTTCTTCTTTGGCTGTGGGCAAGAAGAGGCTAAAACTATTATTATGCCTGTCCGTGTGTATGTATGTGTGTGTGAGTGTGTGTGTGTGTGTGTGTGTGTGTGTGTGTGTGTGTGTGTGTGTGTGTGTGTGTGTGTGTGTGTTTGTGTGAGTGTATGTGTGTGTGTGTGTGTGTGTGTGTGTGTGTGTGTGTGTGTGTGTGTGTGTATTTTGTTTTAGTAGAGGTTTTATGGCGCTCGCAACTGCATAAGGTCATGTGAGCGCCAGAAGATTAGAGGTGTTACAAGAGAGTAACAAACATAAAAAAGGAAGGAGGGGAGAAGGACGATAGATGTATGTTTGATAGAAAAGAAGAAGCAAACCACACCAGAGCACCTGCCAACCACCCACGTGCGTGTGTGTGGAGAGAGAGAGAGAGAAAAAAAAGAGAGAGAGAGAGAGAGAGAGAGAGAGAGAGAGAGAGAGAGAGAGAGAGAGAGAGAGAGAGAGAGAGAGAGAGAGAGAGAGAGAGAGAGAGAGAGAGAGAGAGAGAGAGAGAGAGAGAGAGAGAGCGCATTTCTCCTTCCTTCTTTATTTTTTTTACCTTTTGAGATTACACAATCATACCTATTCTACCAAACTGATGCCTTTTTAATTAAATTTTAAGTGAATTTGAATAAAATCATTTACTCGTCTTTTCCGCCACGTATATGCCACTGATTTCATTGATAACAATTTCTTGAATAAGAATGGGAAGTTGTATTACAATAGTGACGAAATATTCTCAGGTGCACTAGGCCTATTGCAAAGATTACGTTGTACTTTGGGCCACATTTTAATTTGATTTATTTATAGATTATGGACTTTGGTTTCTTGAAAAAGTCAAGAGACCGTAAGTGTTCTCGAGGTTTATTCAGGTTTTGAAATAATGGGTGCGAACAGGAACTCTTTACAATACAATGTATCATAGTATGTATTTTATCTATCTATCTGTCTATCTATCTATCTATCTATCTATCTGTCTGTCTGTCTGTCTGTCTGTCTGTCTGTCTGTCTGTCTGTCTGTCTATTTCTCACCCATTGTCAAGAAGAACACCGGGCGTCTTAGACAGGTGGGCGTCTTATACGGTGTTATAATGAGTCATAATGTAAAATATTACGCAAGCTAGGAAATTTGAAGTGACCGTTTGTACAGGTGGTTGTCTAATACGTGACGGTTAGAGCAGGATCGACTGTATTATATATACATTATACCGGTATATTTTTCATATTTAGGTAATAATAGTAAATAGAGGGTCGCTCGATGAAGACTCTTAATCTATTATACATTTTTATAGACTATAATATTTAGGCTACTCTGTTTACTATTAGACCCCGTCGGCATCAAAGTACGTTCTATTTTGACTCATCGTAACTTCAGCAACCAGTGTCACGTGCACCTGTGTTGTTCAAATCTCGTCTCTCAGTTTGTTAGTGGGTAAAAAGTAAGGGCAGGGTTCACTATGCAGTGTGCACTGTGCAGTTAACGACAGATCGAGCAAGGACAGAGCATCGTTACAGAGATACTGCCGCTTTGTTCTGATAATGATATTGCGTGTTTTGGGTGATAATACATTAGCGTATCAATTAATTGTCAGATGAAATTTGAGACAGCGACCACGACGGATATTTTTTTACTTCTTCCCGTGACACAAGGTAGGTCCTAGTTTTGTAATGAATCCACCGTGCTCTGCCTTGCTTCACAGGGCGCGCCAATAATTCAGGATTATGGTGTGGATGGCCAAGGTTTACTTTTCAGAGGGGCTTTTTTGAACTCGTGTTGTTTGACAGTTTTTAGAAGGGCTCTCTACCCACTTTGCTGGATCCTCTCGGAGTGGAACTTAATATTTACAGGTCTTCTGTTAGATGACCTTACTACTTACTTTACTGTAACAGTCTCCTGCAGTATATTATTTTACCATGCCATACTATACATGCGTTAGATAATAATACAATACAGTAATATACCAGCGTTAGATGATCATACTGTACCATACTATACCTGCATTAGATGATCATACTATACCATACTATACCTGTATTAGATGATCATACTATGCCATATTATACTTGCGTGAGATGACCTACAGTACCTTCATTAAGTGACAATACCATACCTATAGATGACTTTACTAAAACTAGCTATACCTAGATGACCTTACTATAGGCCCACCTACATATTATGTCAAGATGACTAGATGACCTTACAATTACATATAAAGGCATATATATTATCTAGATGACTTTACAATAGGCCTTCCTGAGTTAGATAGCCATGCTATACACCCTTCTACCTAGTTAATACTAACGTAGCTGCTTTCCGCTTCACTGACCTGCAAGCCTTTCTGTAAACTCTTTCACATTCCGTTCACCCCCGCCCCCCCCAATCAAA